AAGCTGCAAATAACCCGTATGACTATTTCCCACCAGTATTTTTATACTTTGAAGTAATTAAAAATAAAGTTTTTGATACAAAGAGAGTCTTATTTTTAAATGCAGTTTTTCCTCTCAGTGTTTTTAAAATTATATTTCATGAGGAACTCAATGTACCAAAGCTTTCAGTGCAGGAGATTTGCATTGAAAGGACTTGGAACACACACCCACACGGTGAGGGCTACTAGTCCAGTGTGAGGGCATCTTTCCACAGAGAAAGAGACACACGGTGAAGAGTCCCAGGAGACCAGTTAGCACAGAACATCCACAGAAGTTAGGAGAATCATCCCAGTAAAACCCATACCAGCTGCGAGAGGCAAATAGCTGCTTAGGTGGCATTCAAAGCCTCAAGCCGTGGAGCTAAGCAGCTGGAAATACCAGGGACTGACCCAAAGTCACTCCCCAAGCATAACTCCCTCTCCCCCTGGGAAAGTCCTACAGGGAGGACTCTGCCAGGGGGGGAAAACCGTTTCAGACAATTTTTTCCTATGTTGCACTTTCCAGGAATTATGTAATGACTCCTCTTTTGATAAACAAACTCATCCCCAGAACAGATTGGGTTTTCAAGAGGAATCCAGTACTGAAACCACGACCTGCACTTGGGTAGCGTCTGTCCATGGCCATCAGATGTGCAGGCAGGGCTCTGAGCTGCCCTCTGGATATAGGGCCCCACTGAGACTCAGAATGGGATCCTGCTTCACTCTTTTCAATGAAGCTGCAGCAGCTACGACTCCTGTATATGTCAGGAGTCTTCTGAGGTATGTGAAATGCAGTGCAATTGGCCTAAGGCAGTGGTCGGCAAACTGCGGCTTGCGAGCAACATGTGGCTCTTTGGCCCCTTGAGTGTGGCTCTTCCACAAAATACCATGTGCGGGCACGCACGTACAGTGCGATTGAAACTTCGTGGCCCATGCGCAGAAGTCGGTATTTTGTGGAAGAGCCACACTCAAGGGGCCCAAAGAGCCCGCATGTGCTCACGAGCCGCAGGTTTGCTGACCACTGGCCTAAGGGGAGAGGGAGATTATTGTAAGGCTGAAGGTACCGCAGGAGGCAGGAAAGCTGGCTGGCTTAGAGGCGGACGCAGGAGGCCTTGCAGGAGAATGGGGCCTACTCGGAATCTCTTGTGGAAGCACCTGCCATGAGAAGCAGCAGCTGAGATGAGGTGATGGAGAGGCCTCAGGGCCGCACAGGCCACCTGTGCACTACAAGTCTAACGAGAGCTTTCATGGTGACGCACAGGACGCCTCTGGCCAGTGGCCTGAGGACAGAACTCATCTGTAGTGGGGGAACCTGGGGCACATATGCTTGGTCAGATGACAAGGGACATGGGTCAGAAAGGGGAGATGGTATTGGTCCAGTTTGCCCGTGGCTGAGACCATGGACTAATGCTCTTGGGAACCCAAGGCAGCACCGCTTTGTGGCCCAAGAACAGAGAGTCCCACAGTTCATCTCACTTCAGACAGAGCCCGACGGAGGCCATCCAGTCATAAATGGCAGAGGACGTACAGGTGGCAACCCCAGGGAGGAGAGGAAAATAATGACCTGGACAGGAGAGGTGGGGAGTCAGGAGAGAGCAGTGCTAAAAGCTCAGGGCTTCCAGCCAGACCCTCTGGGCAGAGTCCTGGCTCTGCCACTTTCCAGTATTTGACCCCAGGCAACCTCTCAGCACCTGCCTATTCACTAGGCTACTGTGAGCATTCACTGCAATTATGCATTTAAAAGCTTAGGGAAGTGCCAGGCACAGAGAAAGCAGACAGTCCCCGGTAGCTCTGTGTTTTCTCATGAGAGAGAAGAGGCCATACCTAATGACCCTGGAGCACTGGCTAATGGGACCAGTGGACTGTGCTAGGCTGCCCTCATCCCAATACCATCAATCTCATCCCTCAATTGATTAGCCTCCAACAAAGTGGGAGTGGGCTTGGAGCTATGCAATCAACATGCTCTCTATCTCTGGATGTGAGAGGGGATCTGCCAGTCACCACGTAGGAAAACATCACAGTTTACAGCCAGCCATGAGAGGAGAGAGGAAAGGATGAGAAAACATGAAAGAGAAAGCATAGGATGATATTCAATCCAATAATATGACTAAGACTAAACAAATGTGGGACTTTTACTCCCCTAATAAAAGGCCAGGTCTCGCATATGGGGTCCAACTAAATGCAATTTTCAAGGATCATTCCTAAGACAAAGCAATTTAAAACATTAAAATCCAAAATATAGTCAAAGATTTATAAAATGAATGCAAAGGAAAAATAAAACATTTCACAGACTTACATATTTTAAAGAAGTAAAAACAAATAATAGATGTAATCAAGATCACTTTGTAGGGGACACTTTGAAATAAATCTACAACTTAACAAACTTCTATTTATTCAATAATGCAGGGCAAGGGAATTCCAACATATATTCCTGTCCTGAGACCAAGTGGTCAAAATTATTCATTTGAATATTATAATTGAGTAACTACAAGAGCAATTTGAGAAATTACACCCTCTTTTCCAGCACCCAGGAAACATTTACAAAAACTGATCTTATATTAACCCACAAGACAAATCTCAAACATTTTTAAAAACCTAGAAAGCATATATGTTACATATTCTAAACTAATGTAAAAAAGTTAGAGGAAAGGCTGTGTTTTTAAAAACCAAGCCTGTTCATAGCAGTATTATGCATAATAGCCAAGAAGTGAAACCACCCCTATGTCCATCAAATGGATAAATAAAATGAGGTGTATCCATACAATGGAATATTGTTTGGGAATAAGAAGGAATGCAGTATGACCATGCTCCATAGGGGAGGAACCTTTAAGACATATGCTAAGGGAATAAAGGCAGTCATAAAAGACCACAAACTGTAGATTCAAATGATATGAACTGTCCAGAATAAGCAAATCTATGGAGACAGAAAGTAGATGAGTGGTTGCCTAGGGCTAAGGATGGGTAAGTGAAGAGTAGGGTGGCTAGAAAAAAGGGAGTGACTATAATGGATATGGGGTTTCTCTTTGTGGTGATAAAAATGTCCTAAATTGTACTAATGGCTGCACAACTCTGTGAAAATACTAAAAACCATTGAACTGTACACTCTACATAGACAATACATGAATTACATCTCAGTAAGGCCACTTGAAAAAACTACACCCTTGAAAATTTAAAAAACACTGCCTTAAGTAATACTTGGATAAAAGAAAAATTGAAACCATAATTACAGAACATTTAAACAACATCAGTGAGAACATGATACATTAAAACATGTAGGATATAACAAAAGCAGTGATTAGAAGAAAATGTATACTCTTTACTGTTTTCCAAATTAAAGTGGAAAGAATAGTATATATACAAATGAACCAATAATTCAACTGAGGCAAGTAATAGGAAAAAAAACAATTTAAGGAAAACAGGAGGAATGAGTTATAAAAGACAAAAGCAGAAATTCCATATTTCATCAAATTTAAGATGTCATCTATTATAAAGTGCACCATTATTTTATGTATAAGAAAAACTGCTGCCAATTAAGCAATGCCACATGCTCTGTTACCATCAATGGAAAGATGCATCCCAATTTCAGAGGATTAGAATGTGGAGAGAAAGCACCTCTAAGCTGACGGAACACAGTGAATCAGAAAGCAGGATAATGTGCCTGACAAACAAATACAAAGTCTAAGTCTTGGGAAAGACAACAGACATACCCCTGGAAAAGCAAGTTAAAGAAAGAGGAAAGAAAAATGCACACTATTAGGAATACAAAGCAAATATAACCACGCAGAGGTTAAATTTTTTAAGAGAATACCATATAAAACTCTATGGTCAAAAAAATTAAATGAGGAAAAAATTCTATGCTAATCATTTTTAGAACTTGGATCAAATGGACAACTTTCTACTAAAATTAAATTTTCCAAATTGGCCTTAAGAGAATTAGAAAATCTAAATTAACAATGCTCATGGAAGAAAATTTGAAGTTGTCAAAAATATCTGTCCAACAAACTGCATTAGATCCCTGAAAATATTAGAGGTCACTTCTATAAAACCTTATTTTCCCTTGTTTTTAGATCATAAAAAGATAGAAATATTTTTTCATAAAATTAGAGTTTAATGGGGTTCAATCACAGTATAAAAATATAGGTAATAATATTAAATGTTCACAATAGTATAAACATAAATTTTTTAAATGCACCCAAATAAATGAAAAGATGAAGCAAAATAAGATTATCTCTAGGTGGGATAACAAATTATAGTAAATTTCTTCTTAATTTTTTACAATAAATGTGTATTATTTTCTAATCAGAAGAATTGATAATCATTATTTTAATTTTGTTGGTACAAAGCCCTGGCCGGTGTGGCTCAGTGGGTTAGAGCGTCATCCCATGCACCCAAAGGTTGCCAGTTCAATTCCGGATCAGACCACATACCTAGGTTGCTAGTTCAATCTCCTGTCGGGATGCATAGGGGAGGCAACCAATCGATGTTTCTCTCTCACATCAATGTTTTTCTCTCTCTTTCTCCCTTCCTCTCTCTCTAAAATCAATTTAAAAAATAAATAAAATCAATAACATATCCTCAGGTTAGGACTTACACACACACACACACACACACACACACACACACACACATTAATAATGTCCAGAGAACCAAAACAGAGGCGTTTGGTCCTGAGTTCCCTCAGTTTGGGAGGATGTGGATGAACCAGTAAGAGTCTTGTGACCTTTCTGGGCTGCAGGTTGGGGAGGCTTGGGATTCACAGGTCACTTGTGTGAGAAGAATATCCCTTATGTCAAGGCTCTCATCAAGGTTCCCATCCTTGGAAAGTATCAACAACCTATTTCAACCCAAGGAGTCAACCAATTAATTACTTCTCTATCCATGGCCCATGCTGCTTCCTGGAAAATTCTCAACTAGAAACTACAAAATATCTTATTTAGCACCGAGGAGGTTTCTTAATAAATAGTAACCGATTCGGACTCCTACCTAGATAGGGAATACTGGGAACCATCTTCAGGCTTCGGATGTATTCCCGAGTCCGCTTGTAATTATCTTCTTTAGACATCAGGTAGTCCAATTTCTCAAAGGTGGTCTTGTCTTTTCGATTCAAAAGCTGGAGTGAGAAGAACACATAGGTATGAGAAAGAAGAGAAACAAACCGGAAGAAGCTAAAGAGAAAGGACAACTGTGGGCAAAGACTAAAAGGAAACATCCGAATGGTGTGTCTGTGCTGTGCTGAATCCAGAGCACAGCTAAAGGGTTTAAGAGGCAGCTTTGTGCCGAGCTGGAACGTTCCATGGCCTCGGTCAGTCACTTTTCGTAGGCTCTCACACTTGGAAGAAAGCCTCTGAAGCTACCTGGAACACTGTTCTACATGATGCCAGAGCCCCCCGCACAGCACTTGCCTCCAGATGTACAGACCCTACAACAGCAAGGAGCCCAGAGAGTAAAGCAAATTGTTCCATGTCCCAGAGTATGCACAGCTACATCAGCCTCTTTCCCTGAGTCCACAGCTACTGGCTCTCTCCTCAACATCTCTGCCATTGCTGAAGGCCCCAGGAAATTTCACACGATTCACCTGTGTGTGCTGTGCCATAGCCAGGCCGTCTCTCCAGAGTCCCTATAGTCCAGCAGTTCTCAACCTGTGGGTTGCCAACCTGTGGGTCGCGACCCCTTTGGGGGTCGAATGACCCTTTCACAGGGGTCGCCTAAGACCATCGGAAAACACATATATAATTACATATTGTTTTTGTGATTAATCACTATGCTTTAATTATGTTCAATTTGTAACAATGAAAATACATCCTGCATATCAGATATTTACATTATGATTCTTAACAGTAGCAAAAATTACAGTTATGAAGTAGCAAAGAAAATAATTTTATGGTTGGGGCTCACCACAACATGAGGAACTGTATTAAAGGGTAGCGGCATTAGGAAGGTTGAGAACCACTGTTGTATATGTGTTTTCCAATGGTCTTAGGCGACCCCTGTGAAAGGGTCGTTCGACCCCCAAAGGGGTCACGACCCACAGGTTGGTGACCCACAGGTTGAGAACCGCTGCTATAGTCTATGTCTGTGTCATATTTACACTGGTTATGGTATTTTAATTAAAAGAAGCCAAGCTTTTTATCCATATGCAGTCATCTAAGCAATGACTTAGTTGAGAAAATACAGGAGGAACAGGTATCCACAGCCCAGAGATTAGAGAAGCGAGATCCTTTCTGACAGATCTCTGGTGTGTAAAGCTAGTCATCAGGGAAAGGGTGGTTCAGTGTGCATAGGCGGCTTTTGGAACGAAGTCATGGAAACCTATTCATCCTGCATGTCCCAGGTCAAGGAGTAGTGCCAGCAAATGGCAATACGTCTCCTTGAATAAAATGGCTTTGAGGAGAGGAGTCTACACTGAGAGAACAGGCTTAAAAAGAGGGTCTTAGGGAGGTCACTGGAAAGGGCTGGCTTTGGCACAGCACATGGCTCCCTCAAGTTTAGCTTCCAGGACCCAGTGCCTCTGGGATTTGCGATCAATGGCTGAGCCCAGGAGTATAAATGGAGAGGGAACTTAGTCCTAGAGTGTCCTTGGTCAAGTTTGGTGTTGAGACGCCAATGATCTGTGCAAGGACCTGGACCAGCAGACCTGCCACATTCGTCAGACTGAGGTAGGCCAGTGTTCAATGCCCATCAAACAGCAGAGCGCAGTGGAACAGGACCAGGGGACATCCAGCACCAGGAAAAGCAGGCCTTTGGAACTGAAGTAATCCCTTTAGGTTTCTTTAGTACACGTGCAGGGCAGTTCCCAAGACCTGGGGTCTGCAAATCTGAGACTCAGGCCATGTCTGGCACATCAGGGAGCTTGGGTTGCCATGGGCAGGTCCTACCCAATTCCCTGATCCTCAGCCTCTGGAACCACAGAGGACATAGCTGTGCAACGACCCAGCTGAGCAGTGACAGTGCAAAGACTTCAAGGAGGAGCAGTAAAAGAATAAGCTAAAAGAAGGTCCCGGTGCCGAAGAAGTTAGAGAGTAAATAGCAAGTTGTTTTTTTCCTATTGGGAAATCCAGGACATGTCAGGGTGGGGATGCTACACAGATGCTAGGGACAGCGGCTGCTTAGCTGGCTTGCTAATTTGAGCCTGTAATTCATCACATTAACAAATGGACAGGAAATAACACCATCCCCCATTTGCTATTTGTAAAGCACCGTAACATACAACTCATCTGGTCTTCACAAAGCCAAGTGACAAAGATGGGGCCAAGACTACTGCCTCTATTTCAGGTTCATAATCACAGTCTGAGTATCCTTGGGGAACTCAATTCACAGAGGAGAGAGATGTCTATTATAGCAACACGGTGAGTAAACAGAGACCAAGAACCTAGACAAATAATAAGTAAATTATGGGTGAGAGAAGTGCCAAGGAGAGAAGCACTTGGAATAAACATTTAAGGATGAGAAATTCACTAAATGAACAATATACACCCAGGTCAGAACGAGACTCTAGTTATGAACTGCCCCCATTGTAAAGTTTGGCAGGCCCCTCATACTCTTGATGAGGAGGTCATTTCTTTATTAATGCAACTTAGAACCCCACTGAAATCTCTGGCGATCACCCATGTTCATCCAGCAGTCAAACAAACCTGTGTGTTACCCTCACTTCACTGCAGCTGACCCATGCTGATGCCCAATGCCCATACCACTGGCTCTCTGGACCCAGCTGGGAAATTGCCCATGTTCCCTTCCACGTTCATCCTATCTGCCCAGCCTGTCGAGTACCTCTATGCATAGCACCACAGAGGTGAAAAGCATGGCATCTGTGTCCTGACATGGATATGACCAGGCCAATATGAGCTTAGATCCCTGGAGGATGTCCCTGAAAATTGCTCTGCAGATTTCTCAAGTCAATAACTGGGGTTCTCTGGCAGAGTGGGACAACCAAGGCAGTCACATTTGCATGCTTCCTAAATTGAAAGCTGAGTTCCTCCAGTGCACACCTCCCCCTGTGGACCTTGCCTCTATACATACTCTCCACCACCTCCCACCCCCCACACTCACACTCACACACATTCAGAAGGGCTGGATCTGGTTAGCTTCACTCATCTGCTCCATCCTGTGCCCACAAATGGAAGTCAGGGTCGCATCAGACTACTGAATAATAATGCATAGGATGATAGAAGACATGAAAAGCTCAGAACATCTATTTCCCAATCATGTATTTGAAAACTACTTAAGAACTTCCTCTAGCAAAATAAAGGAATAAACCAACTACAGGAAGACACAGGATATAGGAAACAGTGGGTCCAATCCAGGAGCAGTAAAGGGAGTTGCTGGGATGACAGATGAACAGCAGGCCTTAAGAACGACTGGTCCACATATGGGAGATGTGTCCAGAGAAAGAGAAGGTGCCATAAAAACCTGATAGGACCACACATTTGTTGGAAAAAGATATATTTATTATATATAATAAATTAAAAATTTTTTAACATGTATTAAAATCTAGTAAAATATTATATAATATTTAAAATGTGATATTAAAATCTATAATATTATAATATAATGTATTATATATAAACTATTATATATACATACACAATTGAGCCTTGGACAATGCAGGCTTGCACTTCGCAGGTCAATTGAATGGGGTGGGTCAATTTTTTAAAATTTGCATATATGTGGCCTGTCCAATTCAAACCTGCATTGTTCAAGGGTCGTGTGTGTGTGTGTGTGTGTGTGTGTGTGTGTGTGTGTGTATAATATCTGGTAGATAGCAGGAAGCTAGGGTAAGGTTTTTTTTAAAGGGAGTTGGAATTCTAGGGAAACAAAAAAGTATTCCAGAAAGGACATGTCCTTAATAGTTTACTACTTGACTACAGAGAACCGCATTTACACATCCCTAATAATTAAAACACTAAGTACTCATTTAACAAGTGACTTAACTGTGGTAACATGAGTGTGAAGAATGAGGGAAGATGAGGAACACTAAACCAGCATCTATCATACAAAGAAGTCACCCAATATTGTCAAAAGTAAATGGATCAAGAAACTACAGCAAAAGCACATTGGTGGGAATGTGGCAGAAACTACCAGCAGAACCAGCTAACAGCTAAGGGTTGCCTCTGGGGAATGAATGGAGTACGGAGAGATGGGTGCTCTTATTTCAGTAAGCCTTTCAGTACTTAGTGGTTTTTAAAATTAACGTGCATGTATTATGCCAAAAAATTATTTTAAGATTTAATTTTTAAAATATAGTTTGTTCATTCAAAAAATAACAGCATTTACTTATATATGTTTTAAAGTTTTATGACAAGTACAGCCATAATCTAAACACCTCATATGAATTGAGGGTCCTTGAGATTTTAGAGTTTATAGGAAGCCCCAGGAAGAAACCATTAGGTATACGTAAAAGAAAATATATTGTCCGCCTACCTGAGTCAAAAGAGATACTAAAAGCATTCACGTTCAGGAAAAGAGGTAAGGAAATAAGCGTGAGGGGAAGTTCACGAAGTACAACAGGCCACCTCACTTGTAGTAAGTTTAGAAGTTGTGGGGCACCCTGAGATGTTCTTCCATAATATTCATTGTGATTGTGATTGTGTGGCTCCATCTGTGTCTCACTGGACTGACAACCCAGCCCATGAGGCAGTGGCTGTGCGGGCTGTATTCCCTCTACTATTCCGGCAGCTGCTATGGTTCCCGACACAGAGGGAATGCTGCCTGAGTATTTGTTGAATAAAAGGAGAAAACTAACAATGATAACTTAAAAATCCAATTCCTTGAAAAACACTCCAATAATTCTTGGGTAAAAGGGGGGAAAGCCACGATTATGGACTATTTAAAAACCACAAATAATGAAAACACTATATGCTAAACTATGGGAAGAGGCCAAAACTAGTATACTGAGAGAAAACATATCGTTTTTAAACTTTTACAATAAAAAAACTAAGAATATAAATCAACTCAACATTCAACTCAAGAAACTAGAAGGGGGGGGGTAAGAAATTGATTAATAGGTAAAATCAGAAATTGGTATGTTAGAAAACAAAAAACTAAATACCAAACCTATAGAAATGATAGCTAAACCCAAGAACTAATTTATATAAAATATCAATAGAACAGGTA